CACAAGGGAACCAGCAGGGGCACATGGGAGCAACCTTACACCCACTGGGGGACATGGGTGGGATCCTTAGGGGCCCATCAGGGCACCCAGAGGAGCCTGTAGCATCCTCAGGGACATATCGGGGGCACCCAGGGATATATGGGAACAACCTCAGGGGCACATGGGAGCACCCAAGGGCAAATGGGAGCACCCAGTGTTTTTGCTTAGAATTGGGGTCTCTAGACCTGGCCCAACCACAAGGGCAGCAGAAATCCCAAGTACTGGGGGCCTGTATCTTCTAGGCAGAAGCCAAAGGAAGGTGTTCAGGGGGTAGCCAGGGGTCTTATAGATTGCAAGCAGCATAGACTGGGATTATGTGTGATCCCAGAGTTTCTGTGATGCTATGGGAACCTGGCCTTAGAAGTCCAGGGGACCTTGTCTGCCTTCCTTACCTGGGACCCTACTCACAGGGCGGGGTGGGGCATGGTGCTGGCATCTTAGGGGGAGGTCTGCCCTCCACTCAGGTCTGTGATCAGTCAATGTCTCAAAAGATATGAGCCTGGGGTACTAGGTGTGACAGCCCAGCTGCATGAGACCCCCGGGGCTACTTGCTACAGGAGCCAAGGGCTCATGCTACTGCCAGTTCCTCCAGCACAGTCTTTATGGACCATGCTTCTCCTGGGTCCAGTGTCCACACACTGTCCTAGGGGCTCCTGGCAGCTGAGCATGTCTTCCCCTAGTTCTAGCCCTCCTCCTGTTCTTGGTATGCCCTCCACATCTTCTCCTGGCCCTGGGAGGAAGCACCCAGTTCGCCTGAGTGGCAGTTCTGGTGTATATGGGGGTTGGGGGTGGGGTCTGTCAACTCCCCAAAGGCACAGGCTCAATGCAGGCTCAATGCCCTGACCAGCATGTGACACCAAGAGCACAGGACTGACTTTCCTACATGTGTGATGGGTCTCCTTGGAGCCAAGTCCCTTCTCAGGACACATTTACCTTCTATCAGCCTCAATCCCCTGATCCCTCATGGAGCCCTTCCTTCACAGGCTGCCTCTGAGGACTCAGTGCAGAGACATTCCTGGTACAGAGTGACTGCAGGGCTCAGGGCAGGCAGCCAGGGATGCCTGGGGGAGACAGCACCACACACCTGCCTGCCTACAGAATCACTGGCCCCCAGAAGCTGCACCCTCAACACCTTTCCAGAGGCATATAGCAAAGCACGCAGCTAACTAGGTTAAGGAGGCGTTGGGGAAAGGTTATGGGGCTGAGGCCACTCGCCCTCCACCGGCTGTTTCATACCCTAATTACACGTTGCTCACTCACTGCACTCGCTGGATGCTAAATTACGAGTGTTTGCTTTTCATCACCCGGCCACAGTCACGATAATTACGTCCCTCTGGGAAGGTCAGCAAAAATAACCTGGGAGGGGAAGCAGAGAAATGGGGGTGCTGCGCACACAGGGGCGGAGCTGAGGGACAACCAGTACTCAGCAGCTTCTCAGATGCCAGCACCCACGGGGCAGGCTGGGCTCCTTTGTGAACAGGCTCAGGTGAGGCATGCTGAGTAGCTGAATGCACGTCACTGTCTCAAGCTGTGACCCCTAGGAACACCTTGGCAATGCAGGTGCTGTCAGAGGCTCAGGGGACTCACATCATGGGGACCAAGAGGGGACATGGTTCCCTCCACCGATGTGAGGCTGCACACAAGGCTGTCACGAACCCATGTCACTCTGAGGCCCCACCACCCACCCACCTCGCAGGTAACAGTGTCAACAGCCCCCCTGACCCCACAGCCCGGAGAACCAGATCAGGGAGGGGCCAAGTGGAGCCAGGCCTACTCTGCCAGGGATCTAGAGTACCCCAAAAGCAGTACGGATGGGGGCAGGTGGTAGTGCCCTTTCCTGGGGACAGTCCCTGTGGCACCCAAAGCAAGAAGGTGACACATGGTGTCGGAGTCCTTGGCAGGCATTCTCAGGAGCCGGCAGGCCTGCCTGCCACCCTGAGTCGTGGGCAGGCCTGGCATGGGGCAGCAGGGAACCAGGCCAAGGCCGTAGTCCTGGATGGGTCACAGAGGTACCCAGGAGGCATCTGGTGGATACATCTAGAGTGAACGCAGGCACAGACCTACAGTGGAGACACAGACCCTGGCTCTGGTGTGGGCTGAGTGTAGCTCAGGCCCACGTGGGGTGGAGAGGGTAGAGCCCTCCAAAAACTCATGGAGCCCCCTAAAAACCCCTAGGGCTAGAGAGAGTACACAGGAAACCCCTAGGGCTAGAGAGAGTACAGAGGGTACTGTGTGCTGTTTGCCTGCACATAGCCGACTCCAGCTAGAGCCTGAGCACCCCAGATGTTCCCCTGAGCACAACCAGCAAGTGACCCCTGAGCACAGAGACCCAGGAGTGACCCCTGAGTACCTCTGGGTGTGACCCCCAAACCAAACAAATAAAAAATCCACCAGTGTCTTGCCCATGTCCATCCCTTTGACTTCATGGGGCCATGGGAGTAAGTGGAGGATACACAGGGCAGGATGGTGGATGTAGGAGCATTTGTGGCTGAGGGACCCTCAGGGTGGACACACCCCTGGAAGAGGAGGTATGGGCAGCAAGGCAGCAACTGAGCTTCACAGCGGCAGTGGGCTCTGGAGGTTCTGCTCAAATCCCATGACTCCTACTGGGGTGGGCCAGGGCAACACTGTTGCTCCTCTCCAGGTCCAACCAGGTGAGTGCTACTAGCACCAGGGGCCTTAGAGCACAACTCTCTGAGTCCTGGAGACGCGAGTCCCGGAGACACGCCCTGTGGGTGCGTAGAACGCAGAGCCCTGCAAGGTTTCTTGGGCTCTGAACGGGCTTTGGTTGCTGCACAGTCTCAGACACCAGGAACCCCGATGCACATTCCACATGTGGAATGTTGCAGGGCCAGGGATGCCAGGACTCTCCTGCTGGGCACAGGTGGAGGATTGGAGGTCCTGGGTCATGATTCTTCCTAGAACTCTGGACCAGTTCTGCAGTGCGGCCCCACTCTGTACCTGGCTGCTTGTCAGAAGGGGTTCTGGCGGCTCTGCTCCAACCTTGTTTCAAGGACCCTCAGAAATACAGAGGTACTTGCATCCCCAATAGGCAGGGCCTCTCAGGAGACAAGTTGTGACAGCAGCAAGGTCAGACCCTCACCCAAACATGACTCTACAGGGCTCATCTAAGTACTGAGCAGGCAGCCATGAGTGACTGATGGAGGGACCCCTTTGCGTGTGGACCCACTTCTGGCTGTAGGGACAAGGGCCTGGGCCACGTGGCTGGGCAGAGCCTGTGTTGGGCCCACCCCAGGTCCTACAGGTACCTACCCTGCTGCAGCATCACTGTCACCAGGGTTCAGTTGCCTGGGAAGTAAGAGTCTGGGCAGGGAAAAACTCGTTAGAATCGACACAGCCAGGGACCATAAAGCTACCTGCCCCTTCCATGGGGTACAGGGAGGATCTCGTGAATGTGTGGGCTAGCAATGACTTGTACAAGGAGATACAACTGCAAACAGATGGGAGAAGCAGGGCAGCCAGCCGTGTGTGGGAATTGGCCGGGCCCCCCCAGGGCCCAGAGCCCATCTCTACACATGCCCCTCAAGACTCCCACACCCAGTCCTCACAGTGCCCGTTAGGGGCATACACTCCAGGACAGGCCCTCGCCCACATACACATGCTGCCCTTCAGTCTTGGAGCTGCTCTGGGTCCCTCTGCCAAGGATGGCAGTTCCCTAACCCTGACCCCTCCGCCAAGAACAGCATTCCCCTGCCCTGGTCAGGCTGGCTGCTCTGGGTGCTCCCCCGGCAGTGACCCCCGTGGGTGACCCTGCCCTTGCATGCATCCCTAGCATCCATGGCCTGGGCCCCTTGCCTCTGCAGCTTCTTCAGACAGGGCTCCCTGGCTCCCAAAACACTTCCAAATGTCTTGCCTGCAAAATGCCCCAAACCAGGGGTACCAGAAGTCACCCTTGCCTGCAGCCACGACATTCCTCCTAAAATGTGTCTTGCCTGGAAATTGGAAAGCAGGTAGAAATTGACATTTCCACCCTCTGAGGTGGAGGCTCTGCAGCCGAGACCAACCCCAGTCAGAAAGCAGAGAAAAGCCTGTTTGTGGTTGTGGGGGTCACCTACCCCCAGAGGCCTTGGTCCCACTCACACTCAGCTCTGCCTCTTGGTTCCAGGCCCCAGGCTGAGCAGCACCAGGCTGGGTGGACTTAGGGTCGCAGTCCTCCAAGCGGTACTCACTATGCTGGGGTTCTGCTGGCATCTCAGAGATTCTCTGCATGGGGAACATGAGCTGTCGGCATGCATCCTGCAGCAAAGCCGTAGACTCAGGAAGAACCCGCGGTGGGGACAGTAGCCCGGGTGATCAGCCTAAACGTGGCCGCGCTTTGGGGAGGGAGCGCGGTCCCGGGACCGCGGTGCTCTGGCAACAGACTGGCCAGCGGAGCAGGGGCGGCGTCCCGGGACCCACCGCCAGGCGCCACTGGTCCAGGGTCTACAACATGGGGTCTCAGGGTTTCACGCCTGGTACCGAACCCCTCCCTCCGCCACCCCCCACCCCCATCCCGGCTCGGGCTCTGTGGTCCAGTTCCGCGTTTCTCTCCCGGACACTCCTTGCGCTGCTCTTCCTCGTCTCAGTGTCTTGGCCCGACCCTCTACCAGCGCCCAGACACCTGCTGGCCACTTCCCGCAGCGTCCAGCGCCGGCCGAGGAGGAAGGGGTCGCCGGGCGCGGGGCGCGGGGCGCGGGGCGGCGGGTCGGGGCGCGGGGCGGGGTGCGTGGAGCGCGGGGCGCCAGGGTCGGGGCGCGGGGCGCCGGGGTCGGGGCGCGGGGCGGGGGGCGTGGGGCGCGGACGCCGGGGGCGGGGCGGGGGGGCGCGGGGCGCGGGACGGAGGGCGCGGGCCCGCACGAGGGGCGCGGGGACCGGGACGCGAGGGGACGCGGGGGGCGGTTCCGGCGCACGGGGCGGGGCGCGGGGCGTGGCGGGAGGCCGGGCCCGTCCCCCAGCTGAGCCGGGGCTGGTCGCCGCCTCCAACTTCAGTCTCTGGCGGCGGCGGCGGGCGCAGGGCTGCGCGCGGTCCGGCGGCTCGGGCGGCCCCGGTTCCGGCCGGGATGGGCGGGCGGCCGCGCCGGGGACAGCGGGGGCGCGCGACGTGACCCGCCGGCCGCGCGGCGTCGAGGGTCTGCCGGAGCGCGGGCGCGGGCCGGCCGCCCGGCCGCGGCCAGAGCATGCGGGGAGCGGCGCGGACGGCCACGGGGCGCGCGGGGCAGCGGTGGCCGCCGCTGGCGCCGCTGGTGCCGCTGGCGCTGCTGGCGCTGCTGGGCGGCGCGGGCGCGCAGTACTCGAGCGACCTGTGCAGCTGGAAGGGGAGGTGAGTTCGCGCCCCCGGGCCCCCCACCCCGCGGCGCCCGGCCGGCTCCGCGGCCGCTCGGGTCCCGGCCGCCCCCGCCCCGAGCCCAGAACAAAAGGGCCCGCGGCGCCGCGCCGCTGCCCGGAGGAGCGCGGGGTTCAGCCCGCCGGCCCGGCCCGCCCGGCCCCGGCGGCCGGTGGGGGTCGCTCCCGGGCCCGCGCGCCGGCCGCGCAGGAAGTGCCCGCGGATCTGCGGGGAGCGGACACCTGTGCGCGGGGCGCTGCGGGTCGGCCCGGCCCCCGGCCCCCGGCCCGCGTGAAGGTCAGGCCGCCCTTGGCGCTGCGCGGGGCCAGACGACCCTCTGGGGCGCGGGTCTCGGTGCGCGCGGGCCGGATGCCCCCGCGGCCGCTCCCGGGGACGAAGCCGAGGGTGGTGGGTTGGAAGCTGCGGTTCCCGAGTTTGCAGAGTGCCGAAGAGCCGATGTCCCGGCCGGTCTCGTCGAGGTCCCTCCCCACCCCCCCTCCTCCGTGAGTTCATGAAAAGAGTCAGTGTGGGGCCTGGTGCACCCCCCCCACACCCCCGCCCCCCGCATTCTGAGTGAAGTTGGTTTTCGGAGAAGGTCGAGTGGTGACCCGGGCGCAGGGCGTGGGCAGCGGAGATGCCTGGGCTCGGGTCTTTGGAGACACTGGGGGGTTCCCTCGCATCCCCCCCAGCTGGGACTGCGGTGCCCACGCTCCCCTGCAGGGAGCCGGCCCTGCGATGGGGCTGCCGCCGAGCTCTGGGGGAGGGCTGGCCTGCGGAGCTCTGGCGCCAGCACAGCGGAGGGAGCCTCAAGCTGACAGGCGCCCTGGCCCCTTGCTGCTGATTAAACTCCCCTCTTTGCAACCTCTGCCGGACGCATCATCAGCTCCCCCCAAACTGCCTCAGATCTAAGACGGAAACCGGCTCTGCCCCGTGAGCCATAGTTTGCAGAGGCAATGGAGTGAGGCGGTAGTCAGGCGGCAGCCAACTCCTGGCCCAGCCTGACCCTCACCTGCCGGTGCTCCCTGTCCTTTACCATGATTAGGAACTCCTCCCTCCGTCCTTGCTGGCATCCCCCACACGCCTCCTCAGGTGCTAGCACCCCCCTCTCAGCCAAGGACAGAGCTGGACACGCAGGTACAGACAGGACCCGGAGGGCCAGGCCCTGCTGGAGCGTGAACCCCCACCCCCTGGTTATCAATATTCTCCACAGATCATCTGACAGATATTTTCTGTTGCAATCCAGGCGTGCTGGTTTGCCTGCTGAGTCCGTAGCATTTATGACTTTATGAGCTGTTCCAAAGCTGGCAAAGGGCGGTGCGAGCCCCAGTGAGCTCAGATGCTGATCTCTGATAGGGAGGGAGCTTTCTGTATGACTCCTGACGTGCTGAAATGTGTTTCTGGGTGTTTCCAAGCAATTAAGCAGTAGGTTTTGAAATCCCTGTCCCTGTGTGTGCGGGAGGCAGGACGGCGCCCCACTCTTGATTAGGCAGTGGCAATAAAGGTGCACCATGAACTTTCCCCTGCAGCTTCCCGGTGGGCAGTGTGCAGGGTGTTGCAGGCCTCACCCTCGAGAGGCGAAGGGGTGGGGATGGCCACAACCTCCTGAGGCTTCCTCCCCAGGACCTCCTTTGTCCCTCCTGACTCTAGTCCACAGAAGCTCGTGGAGTCAGTCTCTGGGCTCTGCTGGCTTCAGAAAGTCCCCAAATCAACTGGGGTTGGGCCTCTTCCCCAAACTGTCTTTTTATAAGTAAAATGATTTCCTTTCCATAATTCAAGATATACCATGTGTTTCTGTTTCCTGAGATTGAATGAAGCAGTCTTTCTGCAACCTCTAGCTGCAGTGTAATGTCAGAAAAATCACTCTATTCCTGTTGGCTTAGCACCTCTCCTGCCTTCCATGTCAAAGTCCTGAATTTCCATCCATGTGTTTATGTGCAGTGTTTCTGCTCTTCAGCAAGTCTGCATGATTGGAAGGTTTGGGGGGGGGGTTCCATTTGCCCCATCTTTTTAAACAATTTTTAAAAAAATGTCTGAGGTTCTGTGATTCACAGTTCTGTTATTGGTGGTCTCCCATGCTCATATTTCCAACACCACACCTGTCACTAGTGTATGCACTTCCTAATTGGAGTGTTTTCCTAGGTTTGCTGTCCTGGGAACTTAGAGTGACAGGTTTGATTCAATTTCTGGGTGAACACCACCATAGACCATGCATGGGCCCTTGTGGGGGTCTCTCTGGCTCTCTCTGTATGGGGGGATGTTTAATTGGGGGTCTTGCACATCACACACTCGAAGTTCACGTGAACATTTGTAGATGGCTCTCTGATCGGATTCTTGTCAGTTTTGATGTTTTAGGAGAAGGTGTGATGAGGCAGGTGGGAGTCAAGGGCTGGCAGCTGCCCTGGTTGGCAGGGGTGGGGGGCATAGACCCCTTCTCTGACAGCAGTGAAGAAGACATTGATTAGAGGGCAACATAGTTCGTGATAGTCCTCCTGCCCGAGCTTGGTGCCCATATGGTGCATGTGACTATATATGCACTTTGCTTCCTGTTGCCAGCAGCTGTGGACTGACCACCACTGCCCGCGAGGGGTCCCTCTGGCCCTGTTCAAGATGTGGGGAGAGTGCACTTGGTACCATTTCTCTGCTGCTGTTTGATGACGGTGACTCAGAAGAGGTGCCCAAAGCCTCTGGCGTGTCTCCCTTGGCCCTCAGGCCCTCCCTGCCCCCCAAGAGGGAAGTGAAGCCCTGGGCAGAATGACTTTTGTGGTCAGGAGAGTTAACGATTGGTGCTTGGGTGTGGGGCTCATGTCCAGCTGACCCTTGGGGCTGGCAGACACAAGCGAGGAGGGCCACTGTGATAGTCTGTTTGGGCTGCCTGAGTGCAGAGCTGATTATAGTCATCTGTGGCAGCCACTCCCCATGGATTCTGATGTTTTCACACTGCACTGTAATTATGCCCGTCCCCATGGATGGGTCCAACGAGGTTGTGTGAGTTTTATTTGACTGTCGTCTGTAAGCCTGTCCCATATGTGCAGCCCTGCTTGGCGTCTGAGGCCGGGCAGGCTGCCCATGACCCAGGGCCTTGTGGGGGCGGGGAGCAGGGCTAGGAGAGGGCTCACCTCACTGATAGATCCCTCTGATGTGGTCTGCTGGATGACTGCAACCCAAGCCTGCAGCTGGCCTGTCGTATGAAAAGTGAGGGTTTTCAGGCCGGACTATGAGTCACCAAGAGTGAATGCAAACCATATGTTATGTGTTTTCTCCTCGAAGAAAGGGTTTCTGGGAACGCTTTCAGGCCAGAACTCTGAATATAGCATTGTTTATTTCGCATAAAAATCCTAAGAATGTGGGTGAACCTGCCTGAGATCTGATCAGAACCAAATTTCGTGTAATAAAACCCCCCGAGTTGAAGTCCCTGGGTCAGCTCCAGGACTGCTGTAGCTGTGACGTGGCCGTTAGCACAAGCTGACATTTACATTAACGTTTCAAGTAATGGAAACTAGCATTTTTGATGGTTTCAGTTTCCTAAAAACATAATGTAGGTAAGTTGACTCAGGACCTGAAAAATGCTTGTGTGTGTGTGTGTGTGTGTGTTGTACACATGCGTGCGTGGTTGTACACACCCATGGCACATCTAGCAGTGCTAAGGGTCTGTTCCTGGCATTGAACTGTGTGATTGGAGTCCATGTGGAGGCAAGAATCTACCCTTGGGCTCCCAAATGCAGAGCATGTGCCCCTGTCTGCTGAGCTGTTTCCCTGGCCTGGAATACTGACAGTTTTTTTTTAGCATAAAGCAGGAGGCCAGACGCTTGCTGACCCATTGCCCTGAGTGGGGGTTGGGGGCCCTTCCCCCACTTGGTATCTTGTTTTGATTATGTTTGACTTTATTTTTAAAATGCGATGCAGAGAGTGAGTACAAGGGTGAGGCACTTGCCTTACACATGACTAACCCCAATTCAGTCTCTGGCATCACATAAGGACCTTTGAGTCCTGTCAAGAGCATCCCCTAAGCATAGAGCCAGGAATAAGCCCTGAACACAGGAGTAAGTCCAGTGTGGCCACAACCCCTCAATTATAATTTAGGGTCTTTTAGTTTCAAGGAAGAGAATAGTCAAATCTTTTTTGTCTTTGGAAATGAACCAAGTGCAAACCAACACAACTTCACATGCTTGTCACTGACCCTCCTCATGGGTTAAAAGCTGTTCTCTGTCCAAGGTCATTGTAGCTAAACCCAGGCACCTCCTGTCCTCCTTTTTGTTTCTGTTTCTAGTTCTTTGGGGGATGGGAGTCGATGAGTACCACACCTGGTAGTACTCAGGGGTTACACCTGGCTCTGCTCAGGGATCCTATAGTCATCTGTGGCATTATATGGGATGCTGGGGATCTAACCCAGGTCTGCTGCATGCAGGGCGAGCACCTGCTGTACTATCTCTCCTGCCACTAGAATATGCCTGTGTCTTCACATGGTGCCTTCCCCCAACCCCAGCCCTGCTTTCTCCCCTCAGTTCTCTGGAACCTGATTGGGTCTGGGTTCTGCTGCTATTTCCTTGACTCCGTTTTGGAAACGTGTTAATCCTTCTTTCTTTTTTTTTTTCCTGGGGGGGGGTGTCACACCCGGCGATGCTCAGGGGTTACTCCTGGCTCTGCACTCAGGAATCACTCCTGGCGGTGCTCCGGGGACCTTATGGGATGCTGGGAATCGAACCTAGGTTGGTTGCGTGTAAGGCAAACGCCCTACCCGCTATGCTATTGCTCCAGCCCCAACACGTTAACCCTTCTTGGTCACTGTACCCTGTACCGCTTAGTTCAGTGATGCCACAACCTCAGACAGCAGTGTAGGACCCCAAGAGGGCTGGGGATTCACCAGCCGGTGGACCTGGATGAAGGGCCAGTAGCTGCCCCTGCTGGGGTAGGCCTGTGGCTGCATGGCATTGGGTGTGGGCAGCTGGTACAGTGGCTTGACTGAGACATGTTCTTTCTTCCTCTGCAGCGGGCTGACGCACGAGGCCCACCGGAAAGAGGTGGAACAGGTGTACCTGCGCTGCTCCGCGGGCACTGTCCAGTGGCTGTACCCCACTGGGGCACTCATCGTCAACCTGCGCCCCAATACCTTCTCGCCCTCCCGGCACTTGACTCTGTGCATCAAGCCATTCCAGGATGCTTCGGGGGCCAATATTTATTTGGAAAAAACTGGAGAACTGACACTGCTAGTGCGGGACGGAGAGCCTGGGCCCAGCCGTGTGCGCTGCTTTGACTTCCAACAGGGTGGCCTGTTTGTGGAGGCCACGCCACAGCAGGACATCAGCAGGAGGACCACTGGCTTCCAGTATGAGCTGGCGGGCAGGCGCATGGGCCCGGATCTGCACACACGCTCTGGTGAGTGGGAGCTCGGCCTCCCTGGCACCTCCTCCAGCGAGGCTCCTAAGGCCCCCACAGTCCCTCAGCATCCCTCTTTGGGGTGGACAGATGTCAGACATGGGGATCTATTTGGCAAAACAACGCCCCTCCAAAGAGTTGTCTGTGGGGATGAGCAGGTGTTCCTGACAATCACCATAGTCAGAGCCGAGATCTGACAGTGGGCCTAGCTTCTGGAGATGCGCATCCTCTGAGGACTATCCTTGAGAAGGAGTTGCTGTCACTGAAACAAGTCACCAACGAGGACTAGTCACCACTTGGCATAGTTGCCACTGAGGACTAGTTACCAACGACTAGCCACCACTGAGTGTAGTTACCACCAAGGACTGGTTACTATTGGCGTCTTCTCCTGGCCTCTGTTCAGCGTGCTGCCTCGTCCAGCAAGGGGCCACTGCTCAGAGTCCTGAGGACAGGGCCAATCTTCCCTCCCTACAAAGAGAGGGGTCTGAGGAAAGGATCAAACCTATGTCTTCGCCCCCACCGAGAAATGAGCACACAAGCACAATGGGGGTACCGTCAAGCAGTTCAGTGTCCATAGTTACCACTGAGTGTAGTCACCACCGAGGACTGGTTACCACTGAGAATTAGTCACCACTGAGAAGTGGTCGCCCGTGAGCATAGTCACCATTGAGCATAGTCATCACAGAGGACTAATCAACACAGGGGTCTTCAGTACTCTGGTGCTGCAGCTCTTGAAACCCTCACACACAGGGAGTGGGTGTGAAGTTGACTGCTGTCTCCCAACGTTGCCACTGGGGACAAGTGCAGGGTTCCTTTCTTTCAGAGACACGGCTTCTCTGTGAGGCCGGCACTGTCCGACCATGGCCGGTTGGTAGCAAGGTGCCTCCCCCGGGGCCAGCTGTGAACTTGGGCTGTCCTGCTTGCAGGACAAGGGGGCTCACGAAGGTGATGGGGGTGAGGACGACACTGTGATCAGGCAGGGCGCTGCTGTGCTGTAGTTCTGAAGGTGGCCCAGACATCAGCATGGTGAGGTGAGGTGGTCACCCCCCACATCTCCCTGCGTCCCTCTGGGGACAGCAGATGTGCTGAGTTTGAGATACAGACTTTGCTCCTGAGGAGGAGTTCACCTTTTAGGTTTCTGCCTCTTGACTCAGATCAGTTTTCATAACCTTGAATCCTTCTCTGATCTTAATTGGTCTGGGAGAGGGGCCACTACAGGTGGGATCCCTGCACACAGCCCTGCACGGGCCTGCACCCCCAGGGCCTGAGTGAACTTTAACTGTGACTGCCTTTACAAGGTCACAGCAGTGCCAGGGGTGAGATGGGATGGGGGAGAGTCTGGAATCCTGGAGATAAATGCTCAGTAAAAACTATCTGGAGAAACACGGTCACCACACTCCCAAGTTTCTTTCTGACCTATGATGGAAGTGGTGCGTAAGGGTCATATCACCATTCCTCCAGCTTGGGTGCTTGGATATGTCTTGGTCTTCAGGACAGTGGCCTGTGTTCTCCATGGCTAGTTCTTGTCTGATCTCGATTTTCAGTTTATTGGACAGGGAGTACTGTGGTGTTGGCTGTCACAGCCCTGTGGCCTGGCCCTCAGGTCACTAAGATTCTCTCTCTGTCCCTTCTGGGCAGAGGCTGAGTTCCTGGCACCAGACTTGTAGATTGGAGCAGGGAGTGGACAGGGCAGTGGCCATTGTCAAGTTCCTAGGTGTTCCTTGGACTGGTCATCTGACCATGACATGTGCTTACACCCATGCACCCCTTGGGCTACACAGGACATGTAGCCACACTGGACACTGCAATGATCCAGTGGGGTACCTAGGATCTTTTGGGGTAAAAGTAAACTTTATTTTTGAAAGTAAAAGGGAAATAAATCCTGTCTAGGGTTTCCCTTTTACTTTTCCCACAGATGTCCACCTGCCCAGCCCTCGGGTGCCTTCAGTCCTGCCAACCCAGTGACCCAGGGTTCCTGTGACCAGAGGTCTGGACTCCAGAGCTGGGACTGGAAAGGGTAAAGTGTCCTCCCCCAGGGGCCTTGCCACCACCACTACTACCACCACCTCCTGAGGACACTGGGTAGCAGGGTTGGAGGAAGCCGAGCTTCCCCTCTCCCTGGGGTGTCCCCCTTTCATCAGGGGCTGGGCCCCTAAGCCTTTAATGCTGAAGGAATGGGTACGGAATGTGGAATGTGGTGCTGGCCATCTGGCGTCAGGGATGCCCCAGCCGACAGCTCTCCTGTGCTCCTGGCTCCCACCGTGGGCTGGCTGTGACCGCTGAGGCTGGACCCCTGTCCGTGGGTGGAATCGTGCTGGGGCCGGCTGTGAGCTGCGCCCTGCCTGACTGACTTCAGAGAATGGGGCTCCCCCGAGATGAGGGTGTGTTCTTGCTGCTTCCAAGAGTGTGTGATATGCCTTTCTGTTGTCTGGCCCTTCCTCTTGTGAACCAGGCCTAGAGTGCTGGGCACAAGGACGAGCCGTGGGCCGAGCTGCTCTGCCCTGCTTCTTTGGGGACCTTGTTATAGGCCTCAGCCTCATGGATGAAGGCCGGAAGTGTCCAACCACCCAAGATGGGTGGGGTCCAGGTACTCAGAACCACTGTAGGTCCAGGACTAGTGGCTGCACTGAGTGGGCACTCTCCCTGAGGCCCCAGTGTTCTCAGGATGTTGGGCACCAGGAGTCCCACTGGGGACAATAAGGGACTTGTGAGGGTGACCCAAGAGGGCAGCTCAGAGCCCCTGAGATCTGCATGGCTCTGGGACTGTGGCCTGCCTGCCTGTGGCTGACTCCACTTAAACTCAGTTCTTCATGCTCAGGCCGAGCAGCATGTCTCACCCTCTCTGCCCCTGTGGTCCTGCCACAAGTCAGGGTTTGGTTGATGCCCACTCAGGCAGGCCCTGGGGACGGACAGGACAGGTCAGCAGGGCTGTGAGATCTAGGAGTCACCCCAACTGGCAGAGTGTGGGACCTGGGTCCCTGGAGGCAATGGGTATCACTCTCAGCCCCCAGCCCCATAAAACCCGCTTGTCTGATGAGCCCAGCAAGTGGTCCCTGCTGAGCCCCCTGACAAGATGCCTACTCTGTCCCCTCAAAGGTTGGGTCTCCTGCTGGGCTGAGGGGAAGTGAAAAAGTGGCTCCCTCATTTCCTGGAAGCAAAGAGGAGGATCACCCCGAGCCTGTCCGGAGGTTGGGCCAGGGTGCGGCCTGTGCTGGCTTCCTCACCAGGAAGCGGGAGGGAGGGAGGGAGGGAGGAAGCAGCCCGGCCTAGTGGAGGAGTCAGCGGCCGGCTGGGTCATCTCAGGGCGCTGCAGCTGCCCAGATACCAGAGGCCCAGCACCACCTGGCTGCCTTTCGGCTCCAAGGCCCCCATGCTGTGCTGAGACTGGTGTGTGGGATCAACTTTTCCAGTGGGAGTCGCCCATCCGTCTGTCTGCTCCTGTGCCCCTGCCTGGGACCAGATTGTGACCTGCAGACATCAGGGCCCCGCATGCACCCGCGTCCTCTCCCAGGTCCTGGCCAATAGCCCAATTTCCTTCATTCACGTTGTCTTGTGCCCCTTCCAGAACACTCTTCCATCCCCATCCTCTCCCGTCCAAGAATCGGGAGGGTTCCTGTGTGTTAGCCTCCTCACTCGCCTCATGAGACTTGAAGCCACATGATGCTCCACCTGCAGCCTGGCTTCAGTCAGTTACTGTTTCCAGATTGGAAACAGGAAACTTCTCCTGGCATTTCGGGGTGGGCGGGTTTCCCACCCTAGTGACTGGTGATGTATCACAAGGCTTAGGTGCAGGAAGTCTGCAGGAGTTTTACCAGCTTAACTGCCAGTGGCCTTGATTCAGTGAGACTTCTGGGGAGGGTCTGAGGCTGTAGCAGCCACACACAAGCTAGGGCAGGAGGCCCAGGCACGTGTCAGCACCTTCGGCCTCCAGCATTCAGCTGTGACCTAGGACCCAGCACTTCCAGAGTGAGGATAGCTACAGGCTCCGTCGGGAGCACACTGTGTCCATGTGACCTCCGGAGTCCCATGTGCACCCTTCCGGCTCCCCCTCCTCACAGTGCTCTCCACGGGGGTGGGGGGGTGTGGGGACTGGGGGTTGTGGTTATCCAGGGCCTAGCTCGCTGACCCACCTCCCCACCCGACAGCTGCTGCAAGTGCAGGACCCTGAGCCTGGTGACCCCAGGTTGTCTATCAGGATGGAAAGGCTCCTGCCACATGCCCCTCAGCCAGGCCTGGGTGCTGCCGCTCCTCTCCTCAGGCGTGGTGGCCTCTGGGCTGGGCGCCCGTGCATCAGGCTCCTCTCGTTCCACAGCTTCCCCTTTCTCTGACAGCCTCATGAGTCAGGCCTTGCTGAGTGCACTGAGACACCACACCCACCCTGCTCCCCAGAGCCCGAGCTACTGGGGTGTACCGGTCCAGAGTCTGTGCTAATGCCCCTCCCTGCCAGGCCCAAGCACCTCCCGAGCTGCTGTCTGTCCCCGACTGTGGCAGCAGCTCGTCCCTGTCCCATGATGACCCCTGAGCCAAGGCACATGATGGCCTAGGCAGGTGAGGGTGCAGCGGTGTGGGTCTGTGAGGTGGCAGGTCTTGTTTGCGATTCTCTTCTCCAGATGGCCTTATCAGGAAGACTTCTCTCCATGAGATTTTCAAACCTAAGTTTCAACTGAGTTAGGGAAACATATGCCAAACTCTTGACTCCCAAAGCATGTGGTTGAGGCCTTCACATGAGCCCCAAGAATTTTTTTCCCAGACCCTTGTGGACATGCCACTACTGCCACTAAGCTCTCTGTTGGCCTGACCCAGACCTCCCTGGAAGCAGAACCAGGACACTGGTTTTCAGGGACAGAGGCCACAGGGAAGGCCCTGCTCAGCTGGAGGAGCTCCCCAGGAGTTGGGGGCTCTGATGGGATTTCAGGAACCAGAAGTGTCCAAAAGATGTTCAGAGATGAGCCTCCTGATCCAGGGGTCAGGCAGGGTTGGGAGGGGGCCGTGCTGAGGCAGGAGGGTGAGGGCTGTTCTCTTGTGTTTTGGAGCTGGGTGTAGGTGGGGACCAGGCCAGACAGCCAGCCCTGTGGACCGTGGTGGCTTTGGATGTGGGGCCAACCAGTGTGGGTGGGACCATGGTCCCTGAGTGAAGACAGGTGGGCAGCTAGTGTGAGGGATAAAGCTTGGTGGGTTTTGTTGTTGCTGAAGATCTGTGGTCTTGTGGCCAGTGCTGCGGGTCCCGCAGAGCTGCCCGGCCCACTCTGAGGCGGGAGCAGGCGAGTTCCATCCTGCCAGGCCCTATCTGTCCTCAGCGCTGCCTGCACTGGGTGTATGCTGACCACTCCTCCCATAGAGACCTTCACAAGACACTAGGGTGACCGCTCTCAAACGTGTGTCTGTTCTCCCCACAGCCCCCTGCCGCCCCTGCAATGACACTGAGGTACTCCTGGCCATTTGCACCAGCGACTTTGGTGAGTGTTCTGTGTGTGGAGGGAGATCCTCTTTCAGCCAGGCCCTTCGATTCTCCTTGGGGGCAGGGAGGGGGGCACCTCTGAGGACAGTGACATGGAACTGTCACTGGAGACCATCATTTCTGTGCACTTAAGCCCCTTGCCCAGGGGTAGGGACAGTGGGACCCTCCTGAAGCTGATTGGCCCTTGTCTATGTTCTGGGCTGCTGGACTCTGCCATTGGGAAACTGGCATCCCCAGGCCCAAGGGCACATCCTGTGTGGTCTTTCCTGCCCCAAACGTGTCAGGCCTTAGCCAGCCCCATGCCTACCCACTATCTCTTTGGTGACTCAGTTCCCCACGAGCTTCCTTGTTTCCACCCCAAGTTGAGACAGGCGGGGGGTGGGGGTGAGGGAGAGCTAGTCTGACCCCTTGGCCTGTCAACCTAGACAGCAGGGCTGCAGGTACCACACCCATCCCATTGACGGGCACACCTGAACTGCCTGTGGGATGAGGACCGGGTGCAGAAGGTCCTGTTCACCACCCTTCTGCTGTCCCGGGCCCCTTCCATTGCTCTGTGGCACATGCTGACCTTCTCCTTCCCTCCACAGTTGTCCGAGGCTCCATCCAGAATGTGACCCATGAACCCGAGAGGCAGGAATCAGCCATCCACCTGCATGTGAGCCGGCTATACCGGCAGAAGAGCAGGGTCTTCCGGGCCGCCCCAGAGGGCGGGGGCTGGCGGGGACAGGTCACCACACTGCTCGAGTGTGGGGTGAGGCCAGGCCATGGCCAGTTCCTCTTCACTGGCCACATGCACTTTGGGGAGGCCCAGCTAGGCTGTGCCCCACGCTTCCAGGACTTTCAGAGGATGTACAGGGACGCTGCAGAGAGAGGCCTGAACCCGTGCGAGATGGGCACAGAATGACGCCAGTGGTGCCAGGGCCTGCAGGAGACAGGCCAGAGGTGCCCCAGTGGGGGTCGCATGTCAGACCCCAAGAACTCATGATGCTGATTGGAAGTGCTGTGAAATGCAAATAAGTTATTATATTTTTTTTTAAAAAGAAATGTCCCTAGGAGACCAACTTCAGTTTCAGCGTGACTTTCTTTGATGTCCACACCATTTCCAGAAGCTTGTGCTGGCCAGCTGGCCTCAGCCTGTCACCAGCCCCTATACAAGGCTTAGGCAAAGTTTGGTGCTGTCCAGCTGATTCTGCAGATGGGAATTTATGGAGCCAAATAGGTTTAAAAAAATTTTTTTTCATGCTTCTCAAACACTGCTTTCCCAGTGTGGAGGGTTGCTTCTGTCCATCTGGAGGACACAGCCCTGCATGGGGCAGGGAATGGGGGTGATGGGGTGGGAAAGGGAGTTAGCATGGAGTTCATCAGGTCCCCATCTAGTTAAGGCTCCCCTGGGTCAGCACAGCCTTGGTGTTGGCGCCTGGGACCCCCCCCCCCCATTGAGGTCTCAGTCAGACGTGCCTCTCTCCTGCTGACCACCCCCACCAGAACCCTCCTTACTGTTAGTCCAAGTTCTGCCTTTGATGCCAGCTTCCCCCTACAGTAAGGCTCACCTGGGGCCTGGCCTTAGCCACTGCTGGTGACCCCCGTGTCCTCAGAGTGAGTGGTCAGTGGCTCCTGACACTCTGAACCTGGCCCAGAGGACACTGACCGGAGCTGGAACCATAGCACAGTGGGTAGGGCGTTTGCCTTGCATGCAGCCGACCCGGGTTCAAATCCCAGCATCCCATATGGTCCCCTGAGCACTGCCATAGGTAATTCCTGAGTGCAGAGCCAGGAGTAACCTCTGAGCATCACTGGGTATAACCCACCACCCCCCCAAAAATACAGGACACTGGCCAACACCTCACCTGTGGAGTCTGAGTGCAAAGTGGATGAGTAGTCAAGCTCACTCGGAAGCTCCTTCCTGTCTCCTCCGGCTCAGTATCCACGGCCTGCACACCTTGTTCCTGCCTGCCATGTGCCTGTTCTCATCCTACCTACTGGCCGCTGTGTCCACATTCTTCAGATATCCCTTCTCATCAGATCACTGGTCTAGGGTCATTTCCAAATAAGGCCACATTCACAGGTTCTGTGAGGATGTGAATTTTGGAGGACTGTTCACCTGGTACCAGGGTCTCTGGGGTATTATGCAGTGACCTGACCCTACACCTTGTCTGTGAATCATGTCACCTCTTCCCCAAGCAGCTCTTGAGAAGTGGATGCTGATTGATCACTCCCTCTCATTATCCTGGCCACTCCCCCCACCCCCGCCCCCGCCCCCACTGTCCATAGGAGGCAGCACACGCCAGTACAGGAGTGAACTACTAGCCGGTGTGTGTTGGTACTTGCTCAGGTGTTTCCTGGTCAGTGTGCCCTGGCTCAGGTGTGTCCTGGTGCAGGTGTGTGCTGGCACAGGTGTGTGCTGGCACAGGTCTGTGGGCTCATGCAGGTCACAACAAGAAGCAGGTGTGTGTGGGTGGTGACCTGAGCCGCAGGGCTGGGCCTCAGCACCCCATCACAGTGCCAGAGCCTGAGTGCAGTGGCTCGGCCTCTGTGCCTCCTGCCTGGGGGCTAAGCCGCTGCCCACTTCTTGCTATGGGGTTTCTGGGCCGTCTCCAGGGGTGCTGGCTGACACTGAGGCCTCTGCTGATGCTGAAGAACTGGAAGGTCAGGTTTTGATCTGGGGCTGGCCTGGGCAGTGCTCCTCCCTCCCGGGCAGGCGCTCCAGCTTTCTAGGAAGCACTAAGACTGCACTAAGAGGCTGGGCCTGGTGCTTCTCTGTCTGCCTGGGAGGGGAGCAGGGCTTGCCTTTGCCCTGTGGGCCCCAGTGGAGGAGATGTGGGCCTTGGTCTGCACCCAGGCTACAGGGGGTGTCTGGTTCTGGTCCACCACAGCTCTGCCCTCCCCAACACAATCCCAGCAGCCTTGGTGAGGGACTGGGGGTGTAACACATCTGTGGGGCCACTCCGGGCGTGGCCAGCCCACTACCATCCTGAATGTTCTTTGCCATTCCTGCCCGACACCTGAGTCCCGGGGATCACCCTGTGGTGCTGTGTCCTCCACCTGGCTTCCACGTGGGAGCACCCCTTTCCCACCATGCTCCTGGACCAAGTAGGGGGAGGAGCCTAGGTCCAGGCCTTTGCCATGGGGGCCAGGCAAGGAGCTGCCATGTGCTCCTGCTAACTTATGCCTGTGCCACGCGATGCGGGGTGGCCTGGCCAGAGCACTCTATCCCTGGCTCCATGCACTGATGGGGTCACAGGGCATGGCCTGGCTGCAGCCTCTTTAGGGCCAGTCCACCTGCCCTCTGATGCACTGTCTCAATTGGTTTCCTTCCTGGGATTCTAGGGCCATACTGCGGGTGTCAGGGACCATGCTCAGCCCCCAGGGGACCCAGGGCATCTCCAGAAGGGTATGTGGGATCTGCTCCCCCACCTCTGCTGGCGAGCCATTTGCCACAGTTGGGCCAGGTGCAGGGTCCCATCCATGTGAGGTGATACCGTGGCAAGCAGGATGGAGCAGGACTGGGGAACAGGGGAGCTGCACTATGAAGCTGGGGGCTCAGGCAGGACTTTGATCCCCAAGGTAGTGTCTGGGAGGAGTGAGGGTGCACGATGATTAGTTTGCAGGGTCTCTTCCCGCCTTCGGTCAGTTCCAGGAGAGGGGAGGGAGGTAGAGGATCAGCTGCCTCTCAGCAGGCCCTGATCTGTCCTTTCCTGATAAGGAATATGGGTCCCCCTGAGATGCCCACATCCCAGCCCTGGAGCCCTATGGGAGGAGTCTGGATGCCCAAAAGATGCCTAGTGTCAGAGCAGCGGCCAGGAGAGAAGGATGTGGGAGTGGTTAGGGGATGTAAGCACCCCCAGATGCTGGGGAAGGCAGACAGCCATCTGGGTAGTGGGGGCGGGGGGAGCAGCTTGAGAAGAGATTGGCCAACCAGATGCCTATCAGGGCTGAGACTGAGGACTGGGTGCCCCGCCCTCAACAATGTCTTTAGGGAACTGGTCATCACAACTGCAGGCCAGGCTTCCCATCAGCTAGGGCTTCTAAGGTCCACACCCCGGTGAGCGAACAGGTGCTGTACGGTGTCTGCTTTGAGGAAAGAGGCTTGACCTTCAATCAGAATCTCCAAGTGGGAGTGTGACTCTGGACGTGGAGACTCAGGGGTGTGTCAGCTTCCACACTGAGTTTAAAGGGCCTCAGTCTCCCTAGCCCCAGTCTGTCCGCACCCCTCCTCCCCCGCCACGCCCCAACTCTCTGCGTCTGATGCTGTGCTTTAACCTGCAGCCTTTGAGCTCCTGGGGAGCCATTACTTTCAGGTGGGGTTCGCACTGGGACACCCGCCCACACCTGGTTTTCCATTCTGAATCACCGTCCTCAGGCAAAGGTTGGCCCTCCTCTGGCAGTGCCCATTGGCCATAGTGCCCCTCACTCCCCTCTGGGGACTTGTTGGGGTGAATAAGCTTGAAGCAGGGGCACCATAAGAAAGGAGACAGAAATAAGAAAAATCATAGGGTCAGGGACTGAGAGTCACGATGTCTTCCACATACAATATTTGTTTCTTAGAAACAGTACTCATCAAAAGGAGAACTATTTTTTTTGTTAAATGCCTAACTATTTTAATTTATCCAGACTAGACCTTTACATATCTGAGGGCCTTAGTTTAAGACAAAGACAAACATCTTTGTAATGGGCTTTCTCAACGAGAGATTCTTCCAAAAGAGGGAGCAGAGAGAGAAAAGTTACAGGAACTGCCAGGCAGCATTCTTCCTCAGGTGCCAGCATTCTGGGTTGAAAGATCCCAGAAGCTCCCTGTCCTGTACTTCTCCTTATCTCTCTAGTACCCAACACCTCCTCACCCACCTGCAGCTCCCACTCCACCTTGGACCGTCTTCCTTCTGATAGCCCCATTGGTGTTCTCCTAGGCCTTTTCCCTCCTCTCTTTGTATGCAGGAAGGCACGCAGACCCACCGGCCCATGCAGTCATGCTATCTCCTTGAAGCCTGCCTGCTTTGTACTGTCTGGGTCATTGAGCCCCTCCTCCCCTGCAACATGACAGCAGATGTGAGTTGGGCAGGTTGGGGTCCAACAGGCATTCACCAGGGGCAGGAAGATCTGCCTGGAGCAGCCACTTTGGGGAGTCTGGTCTGGACTTAGTGCGTGTCCAGGGCTTGAACCTGCAGAGGTTAGTTCCTGAGTGCTCTTAGCTGCCTTTACCTCTGGGATAGGTGACCCCACATTGAGGCAAGGGTGCTGAGACCAATAAGTCTCAGATCTTCAGGAAAGCCAGCAGAGTTCACCAGTGCTCCTGCACTGAGCATATCCCCCACTCTTGGGGTGCACCCCACTCTCAGTGGCCAGAGAACCCCGAATGGGACTTTTGTGATATGGGGTCTTTCTTGGCAGCCCCTCTGTTTGATGCACCCTCCCTGCACTTCAGGGAAGAATGGGAGGTGGTGGGTCCCTTAGCTGCTGCTGGGCTTGGAAGGGGATGGATGAGGCCCTCTCTGCAGGGTTTGTGTCCCCATGAGCAGTTCTGAGGCTGCTGCTGGCATGTTTATAGCACAGATGTGATTGTCTGACCCCAGCAGAGCCAGAGGCCACCTGCCAGATGATCTCACAGTGGTGCCAGCTGTGTTGAACTGCGAATGGCCAGTGTCTGCCTCTGTGCCTCACATGCAGGTCCCTGTCCTCTGTCCTTTCACGCTTCTCAGTGAAGAGAAAAGCAGGTCCTGCCTGTGAAAAGTCCTTTCCCTGAGCTGTCCTTGTATCCTCCAGAGTTTGATGGCCATGGGGTGTTATGTGGGTGTGATCTCCCTGGGTGAGCACAACCTACCCATGCGTGTGGCCCCTGGGACAGTTTCCATGTCAGATGGTTAGAGAAAAGCCCAGTTGATGGTGCCTGAATGAGGCTGCCACTAGGCTGAAGGCAGCTGCTGGGCCATGAGTATGTGGTCAGCTTGTTATTAATTTGCACATATTATTCATATCATCATATAATACACAATCCACCATTCAGATGCACAGTGCACACATGTACATATGCTCACAAGGCACTGCTCAGATGTAGAATGTACATGTGCAAGA